AAAAAAAAAAAAAAAAAGAAAAGAAAAGAAAAAAGAAACTGAGAAACAAAGAAGTTTTGTGTCTTGCCCAGGGTCACACAGCAAGTTTAGTGGTGGAACTGAGCTCATGAACCCGGGCTCGAGAGGGAGCTGGCTGAAGTATGAGGTCGGGAGAACTGTGGGCTTCATTCGGGTCCTACTCAGCTCTGTTCATGGTCCAATCCATGCGGCCTCACAGACTTGATCACCAGAGGGCGCCGGCGGGTCTCCGGCCGGTTGGGCAGCCGAGCCCTGGCCCCTCCCGCAGGAATGCCTGGGATGGAGGGAGGGTTGTTGGTTGCCGGCCGGAGCAGCTGCTGCTGCCACTCAAATTCCACCCTGGGATCCGGCGTTTGCTCAGAGGCGGCGCAGGCGGGAGGAACGGCCTTCCAAGGAAGCGTCCTTGCCGGGATCTGTGGGCCTCTGGTTTTAATCTCTCCCCCAGGGCTTTGAGCCTAGGGCTTCCCGGGAAAGGCGGAGCAAGACCCAGGAGGCCGGGGAATTGTACCAACCACTATCCACATAACAATGAATGGCTGGCATTAATTAAATACCTACTACATTCCCGCACTTCCTTGAAACTTTTCTTGTCCAGGTAGGAGGTGTCAGGAGCTTCAGTGCATGGAATGAACTGCCAGATGTGCCAGCTTACTCACTCTTAGACGCAGCCCAGGCTCCTGGAGTCATTTTTGGTTCCCAGAGCGTGGGTGATGTGAATGTGAGCAAATAGACAATGATCCCCTTCCCAAGGAGCGACTCTAGTGGGTAAAGATGGGCAAGAAACAAGTATTGGTAGTATGTGTCAGATGTTGGGAAATAAAGTTAGGGGTCTAGAGGGACAGAGTGCTATTTGAGGTGACCAGGGAGGGCTTCTCTAAGGAGGTGACATCTGAGCACCTGAAGGAGGTGAAGGAGGAAGCCTTGTCAATATCTGGGAAACGCGTTCTAGGCAGATGGAACAACACGTGCAAAGGCCTTGAGGTTGGAATGTGCAGAGAGCATTTAAGAAGAAACAGCAAGAAGGTAAGTGATACTAGAATGGAGTGTGTGATGGAGAGAGAGAGGTGATAACTTGAGAGAAATCTTCAGAGGTCAAGTCATAAATTTGCATCTAAATAAGAGAGGAAACTGGGAGAGCTTTGAAAAGAGGAGTTAACATTATCTTTCTGTTTTAAGGGATTCAATCTGAGTATGTCATTGCTTACTATGATTCGAAATCCAGAAGTAAAACAAAATAATTCCACATAAAAATTTAGCATAAAATAAGGCTAAAAAAATTTAGCATAAAAATAAGGCTAAAAACCCTCAAAATTTTTTTTAAAAGCCTGACTTAAGCATTAGAAAAGCTATCTATGTAACAGTTTACTTGTATCCCCTTAATATTTTGAAATAAAACAAGGGGCAGCGCCTGTGACTCAGTGAGTAGGGCGCTGGCTCCATATACCAAGGGTGGCAGGTTCAAACCCAGCCCTGGCCAGACTGCAACAAAAAAAATAGCTGGGCATTGTGGCAGGCTCCTGTAGTCCCAGCTACTTGGGAGGTTGAGGCAAGATAATTGCCTAAGCCCAGGTGCTGGAGGTTGCTGTGAGCTATGTGACGCCAAGGCACTCTACCGAGGGCAATAAAGTGAGATTCTGTCTCTACAAAGTAAATAAATAAATAAAAAGCAAACTAGAGGGAAAAGATCTGTACTTCATATACAAGACTCCCTAATTTTGTCAATATAAAGGTTTTTAGGAATTAATAATAAAAATATCAACAATGCAATAGAAAACAAATTAGGAGAGCCAGGAAGACGGCCCATGCCTGCAATCCCAGCAATTTGAGAGCCTGAGGCAGGAGGATTCCTTGAGGAGTTTAAGACATATCTGGGACTAGCAATATAGAAGGACTCCTCAAAAAATTTACAAAAATTGCGGGTATGGGCTCGGCACCCATAGCACAGTGGTTACAACACCAGCCACATGCACCGAGGGTGGTGGGTTCCAGCCCTGCCCAGGCCAGCTAACCAACAATGACAACTGCAAAAAAAAAAATAATAATAATAATTTAATAGCTGGGCATTGTGGCGAATGCCTATAGTCCCAGCTACTAGGGAGGCTGAGGCAAGAGAATTGCTTAAGCCCAAGAGTTGGAGGTTGCCACAGCACTCTGCTGAGGGCGACATAATACCTCAAAAAAAAAAAAAAAAAAAAAAAGCAGGTATGATGGCCTGTGCCTGTAGAACCAGCTAGCTACTCAGGAGGCTAAAGTGGGAGTGATACCAGAATTCGCTCTTCAGTAGGTCCTTCCTTGGTCTCTGGAATTTGAAGAATGAACTCATGGACCACAGATCAGTGGTAAGATAGGACTTTTATTAGAAGTTAGGGCTCGGCGCCTATAGCTCAATCGGCTAAGGCGCCAGCCACGTACACCTAAGGTGGCGGGTTCGAATCCCCAGCCCGGACCCGCCAAACAACAATGACGGCTGCAACC